AAGGAAGGAGGAAGGAAGGAAGGAAGGAAGGAAGGAAGGAAGGAAGGAAGGAGAGAGAAGGAAGGAAGGAGAGAGAAGGAAGGAAGGAAGGAAGGAAGGAAGGAAGGAAGGAAGGAGAAGGAAGGAGGAAGGAAGGAAGGAAGGAAGGAAGGAGGATTATAGTAGTGAAATTTTCTCTACCGAGAAAGGAAGAAACGAACATTTTTTAAAAAGCTAACAACACTCCAGGATTGCCATCTGGTGCTCAGAATCACACTAACAATGGGTTTTCACCCTTCTTTTTCTGCAGACAGAAGGCACTGGCGTCTACAGGAGGCCGAAGCGTCCAAGCCGCCTGTGACTGGTTGGTATGAATTAATATCGTGCAAAACACAGAGAGGCCGGGTGGCGTTGTTGTTGGGTTGGGCTGGACCTCACTTTGTTTCTCGCCCAAGTCTAGAAAGGTGACGGGGGTGGGGGATGTTGCTTGCGAGCAGAGATGATTCGGTGATTTGGGCAGGTTCGTGTAATGGCCAAACAGATGTTTGGTGCTTCAAAACCCCGCCGACGCCCACTCAGAGGCAGCGCTCGGAGGAGGCAGGGCAGGGAAGCCAGGCCCCTGGCCCCCAAGTGGCCGCCTGCCAGAGGAGGCGGGGCTCTGAAGTACCAAACACCTGTTCGGCTGCTCAGCGAACCACCGAAACATTGGTTCGTGCCCATCTCTACTTGCCAGCTTGTTTCCTTCTTGCGGAGTGCAGCACAGCCCCTATGTTATTGAGGGTGGGGGTGAGTGGGCAGGGGCATGACATGGCGGACCCATTTGCTATCTTCTGCCATCCTGCAGTGGCTGCCCATCTCCTCTCTTTTCAATTCCAGGCTCTTTTCCCACGTATGCGACCCTTTTCTTGACGACCCCCTGCCTCGGGAGTATGTCCTCTACCTACGTCCCACCGGTCCCTTAGCCCAGAAGCTCTCCGATTTCTGGCAGCAGTCAAAGCAGCTGTGCGGGAAGAACAAGGCCCACAATATCTTTCCCCACATCACGCTCTGCCAGTTCTTTATGGTGAGTTGATGTTATGCCTTGCTGTCTTATTCCTTTATCGGTTCACTCAGAGCCTCGTACCTCTCAGACTTTAGAAATGTTACTTTAGGGGACTAATACCTCCAAGATTCCCCCTGCAGAGGATGTGATTTTCCCCAATCTCTGATAACTGGTTCAGATCATCGGCCGATTTAGCCTTATATTGTCAACTCTGACTGGCAGCTGCTCTTCAGAGTTGCAGGTCAGAGTTTTTCCACACCTACCTACAAAAGCTCTTCTGTCCTATTAGAAAGGTCAGTTTCTATGTGGTCTTGTGAACACAGTGACTGGAGGAGTACACTAGTTACCTTCCCACAACTGAAGGATAAACTAATGTGATAGTGAACACATGTTGCACGAATCTTTTGGGAAATGCCAATAGCAGCCAGAATGGGTCGTTCTGCATACCCTTAATCTTTTCAGCCACTATGATCCAGTCTTGCTCAGTAGCACTCCTCAGCATCTCACCCTCCATGATCTTTCCCATCACCTGTTACTTGATCCTGTTTTTAATCCGCTAAGGCAAATGGTGGAACCTGGAATCTTCTGAATGTGAAGCACATGCCCTGCCAGTGAGCTGTGGGAATCCTGCCATCATAGAGAGTTATTTATTATTTATTTATTTATTTAAAATATTTTTGCCCTGCCTTTCTCCTTCAAAGGACCCAAGGCGGCTTACAACAATTAAAAGGTAATATTTAGAAGCAAAAAAAAAAAACCCCGTAAGTATACAAATACTCAGAAAGAATTAAGCAAGCATTATTTTTAAATGGTCAATAAAATTGTTACTGAAAACACATTTAAAACCAGTCGCACACAAGAATCCATTTATGGGTTGTCCTTAGGACTATTGCAAAAATGAATGACAGTAATCATTTTTTTAAAAAAACCTTTTCCCTCCCAGCCTTGATGGAAATTCATTGCCTCAATTATGACATACTTGGATGGTTTAGAAACCCCAATAAAAGTTTGCAATAAATAACATAAAATACGTAGATTCCAGTCATCTAGGGTGGATAAATATACCTCCAGCATTGTGAGATGCTCAACTTATTTGGGAGGGCAGGGAAAAACAGTAACGGACGTTTCCAGCCCATGAAGGGTTGTTGAACATCCTCATGGTCTAAGCAACGCTGTTTTCCTGCAGTGTGAAGACAGCAAGGTCGAGGCGCTCTGTGAAGCTCTGCAAGTCACAGTGACCCGATGGCGGTGCAAGTTTCCCAGCCCTTTGCCCCTGGAACTCTACACCTCTTCAAACTTCATTGGGCTTTTTGTCAAGGAGGAGAGTGCAGAAATCCTCAAGAAGTTTGCAGCTGATTTTGCTGCAGAAGCCGCCTCGAAAGCTGGTGAGTGTGGAGGGCAAGATGTAAGTGTCATTGGATATTTCATGGATATTTTTTTTAATATGGCATAAGACCAAAATAAAACAAAAACAGGGTGTCTAACAGGGATGGAAACTTGAGTCATGGGACTCGCCATCAAGTCGGACTTAAGTTATAGACTTGGTCTCAACTTGGGTGTTTTTTAATGACTTGGACTCAACTTGTGACTCAGACCCCAAATACTCCATCTCTTTATTTCTGGAGGGGAAAGCTTGTTTTTAATAGGGACTTTGGACTTGGTACCAAAGTCTTGGGTACCAAGTCCCAAGTCCCAAAGACTTGCCAGTATCCCAGATAGCTAACAAAAACAGTGGTGCACTAGAAAAATGATTCAGACTAGAGTATGTCAACGATGACCTGCTCTCCTCTGACGTGGTCCATACTTAGGCAATAGACAGCTTACGAGTGGAGTAGGAGGGTGAAGCTCCTTGAAATGAGACGTGTACATTCCTAGCTCTTTGGTCCATGTGCCACCCTTGATTCAGACCTAGAAAGGATTTTTTTTGGTGCCATGTATAAATAATTGCCATGTTATTTCTCTCACATGATGTCGGAGGAAGTGGACTTGTCCCCTAAAGCTCACATTAAAATGTAACACTTAGTCTTTAAGGTGACAGTCATGTTTTTGTCTTTTTAATTTGTTCTTCTAATTTAATTTATTGTTTTAACCTATAAGACCTGGAAAAGTTACTTACTGTGGTGTCAATTCCCAGAATCCCATCGCCGCCCCCCCGCAAGCATCAGGGTTCTGGGATATGTAGTCCTCTCCTTTACTAGCTCTTGAGGTTCTGAACTTTCATTTTTGACCCTAGAGAGAAGGACCTCAAAGGAATCTGCCACCTCACTCCCATTCTCGTGGGTTCAAAAAGCAAGAGAATCTCTACTTCCTGTGATTCATAACCTCCTCAAAAAGGAAGTCGACATTTTGACTGTTCTTTAACCTTTTCTGACAAGAGGGGTGTGCGCCTCTGTGTGTGCATGGGCACATTTTCTTTGTTTGATGATATAAGCATTTCCTGCCTCAGCTTGCCATTTCAAGATGCCTGTAAACAAATCTTTCCGTAACATGATCTAACATATATGGTTTTGGTAATTCCTATTTTTGCCTCTGTCGTCCTTTCCACTCACCTCCAAACCGGGAGAAAACAGGATGACCTCTGAGCTGATAGACCTCCTGAGTACCAGAATCTGTGTTCTGATGATGAAAGGCAGTCATGTTTATGAGTGGATGATAAGGACATGAGATTAGAGTCCATGTTACATTTGCAGGAATGTCCTTCTCCCTCTTGTGGCCCTTCACAGGACTGAAAATCTGCTCTGGAAAAGTTCCCAGATCTCCGCGGGGTGTGTGTGTGTGGAAATTGTGACATAGGGGGCTGTAGGTAGGAGAAGAGATTGTCCCCGCCTACTTCCATTCACGAAATCTACTTCTTTATTATTATTTATTAAACTTATATGCTGCCCATCGAAATCTACTTCTTTATTATTATTTATTAAATGATATTCTGTCGACACCACTGGACTCTGGGCATAGTTGCGTGGTAGAATGTATTCTCTCCATCATGCAAGTCTAGGACTTTAATAGAATAAAAACAATTGAAAAATAACAATATCTCAACGATATTCTGTTGACACCATTGGACTCTGGGCATAGTTTCATGGTAGAACGTATTCTCTCCATCATGCGAGTCTAGGACTTCGTGGTTTAGGACCTCAATACTTGGCGGAATGTTTCCCACAAAATTGCTACTTGTCCCCCGCACTGCTTGCAGTCCTTGAAATTTAGAACTGTATCCCCCAAGGAGGCCAAAAAAAAAAAAACCCCATCACATGGAATGGAGCTTTCTTGGTTGTGGCCCCTCTGGAACAAGCTTTCTACAGAGGTTCACCAGGCACTATCCCTCTCTGTTTTTAGGAAGTGAATTAAGACCAGATTGCAGTAGATCACATTGCCTGCTGCTAGTGTAAATATTGTCCTGAGTTGTTCAAATGGGTTTTAATTTAATTTTTAAATGGCAAGAAAAAGAAAGAAAACGAGCATGTCTGTTACTGACTTACATTGTTTTCTGCTGAAAATTGTCTCTCCGTTGTTGGGTCAGTCCACCAGAACAAGTCTCTTTCTTTCAACGAACTTGTTTACTATTTTTGTCCAATGGTTAGTGCTGATTCAATGTAAAACTTGACACCAGGTGTTTCAAACTCTTCACATCCCAGTTCTTTAATTCCCCATGGTAACTGGCCGACCACAGTTGGAAATGCAACCCTGGACTAGAATTCTGCATGTGAACCAAGACACTTCTGCCTTCCATGATTTCCATGCCACTGACCACAAATTTTTCATCTGCAGAAGTACATGTGGAACCTCATAAGAAGCAGCTTCATGTGACGCTGGCCTACCACTTCCAACCGAGCCACTTGCCCACGCTTGAGAAGCTAGCTCAGAGCATAGACATGAAGCTGGGTTGTGACTGGGTAGCTACCATATTCTCCCGCGATATTAGATTCGCAAACCATGAGGTAAGCTTGGGACCCAAAAGCTGTTGAATGAGAGCCATTGTGTTGTTTTTTTAAAAATCATCTTAGAGCTACAGAGCAAGAAGGGACCCTATAGATCATCTAGTCCACTCCCTGTCAAGGAGGCTCAATGGGGGATTGAACTCCCAACCTCTGGCTCCACAGCCAGACACTCCCGAGCTATCCAGCCATTCTTTCGAATTTGTCTCTTTTATAAATTAAGCCAATCAACAAAATTCATTGTGCAAATTAACTATGGAACAAAAAATGTTAATCCTCAACAAGAAAATTCATGGGCACGGGGTAAATCTCAGCAGAGTAAAATCAAGATCATGTAAATTAGATTAAAGAGTTTAGTCAGATAAAATTTAGCTCACAACCTATTCCTGTCAGTAGAAACTTCACTGCGGTTTCTGCGATGGACCTTCAATGTCACGCAAGAGGAAAGAGACGTAAAATTCTGGTGGCTTTCCTGGATATTGTGTATATTGCAATAAAAGTTTGAAAAGAGAAAGATGGATGTTAAATGTTCAGTTCCTCACAAACTTCAAGGATGTCATCCCTTTTTTAAAAAAAAAGAATATGGGCTACCCCATTAATGCAATAAGAAGTGTGACAGTAAATGCCCTCTTCATGTTTTGGGATGCTCAGCTTTATTTGCAGGCAGGGAAGAAAGCATTCATCTGATTTTTGACTGATACAATGCCATGCTTTGGAAAAGCATTGATAAAACCAGGCATTGTGAGTGGAGGACGGCCTTGTCTGTTTTGATATCCATTTGAAGTTTATCAAGCAGGCCCTCTTGGAGATGATGGGTGGTGTAGTTCAACACGTTCAGGGAGAGCAGGGGTTGACTACGGGCGATACGTGCACCACATTCCGGAGGGGACCATCTCCTCCTGGGAGATAAATAAGAATACTTATTACAGTTTTTAATAAGCATGCACATTGAGTGTTTTTTTTTAAAAAAATCAAGGGAACCATTTTAGTTGGTCCCCAAAGTTTCTTTATTCTGTTTGATTTAAACGCTTCAGCCCTCTGTACAACTGAGGACTGACGAAGGGAGGAACGGGCCAAATCTATATATTTCTATGAGTTGCACTGGATAATGGCTTTTTCCCCTCCCTCCTCCCTTTTCCTCTCCCATAGACTCTGCAGGTGATCTACCCATACACCCCGCAGAATGATGATGAGCTGGAACTTGTTCCAGGGGATTTTATTTTCATGTCTCCCGTGGAGCAAATCACAACCAGCGAAGGCTGGATTTACGGTACTTCCCTCACCACGGGCTGCTCCGGATTGCTGCCGGAGAACTACATCACCAAAGCGGATGAGTGTGGCACATGGGTGTTCCACGGGTAGGTAATCATTATCTTGCACACCTAAATGATGCAAGATTTTTTTGTGTTACAGTAAGTTTGTTTTGCTCCTTTGGAAGGTTAGAGCCTAGCCGTGGAGAACATGGTGCCAGCCCATTGTTGGAGAAATGGAACGTTTGTCTTAGTATTCTAGCAACTTTTCGAATCACAGTTGTAGCCTGAGCACAATTCCCCATCTTTGAGGGTGCTAAGAAATGGAGGAACCACATGGGTTGGGGAGAGAGAGGGGGTGACAGTTGCTGGTTTCAGGGAAGTCTCTTGTGGGAACAGGAGGGCAGAAAATCCAGTCCTTTGGCAAGACTGGGTCAGGGCTCCCTCTCTTAACCATGCACAGACACCCCAAAAAAATTGGATGTAAATGCTTCACTTATCCGCTGTTTCAGGCATCCACAGGGTGGGGCTTGGAACCATTCCCCACGGATACTCCATTTAGACTAAATAATGAGCCGTGTCTTTTCGCCAGGTCATATTCCATTCTGAATCCCAGTTCTTCTTCATCTCTTCTGATGTTCAATGATGGTGTGATGGACCGGAGGCTACAAGAAGACCAGGGACCGGGCGAGTCTGGGCCGCTCACCATCTTCTGTCAGAGTATGCAGGTAAATCACAGTCACTCCTGTGAGCATTTCCATTTCTGTCTCCTGGGTAGGCCAGTGGGCAGCAGGGAAAATTAGACTTGGTTTTTCTCTTTCATAGCAGCCTGTTACTTTTTCTTCTGTGCAGCCTTTAAGGATCACCAGCCAGCCGGGGCCGCAGAAAAGATGCCTTTTCGTCTGCCGCCACGGAGAAAGGATGGATGTTGTCTTTGGAAAATACTGGCTCTCGCAATGTTTTGATGCCAAAGGTAAGGCGTGTGTTGGATAATGTTTAAAGAAAGAGTAACTTGGGAAGCAGGCTTTCCACTTCATCTAGAAGCTGCCATTTTTGTAGAGCGACGGAGCAAAACTGGGTACCCTTGCCAAAACCGTACCAGTCTTTTAAACTGGAAATTTCAAATTCAGACCCGTTTTATTTTCACCTTCAAGGCTGAACACAATGAGAGGAAAAATCTACAGAGTTCTCCTGTTTATTAGTTTTCCTTTTAATGCATAGAAGTTGTAAATATGGGGATCTGGTCAGGTCTGTTAACCTCAGGCATTTTCCCAATCTAAATTCCATGATACTGGAATTTTTTTCCCTCTGTGTGGTTTCCAGCCTTCCAGATGTTCTTGGACTAAAATTCCTGAAAGCCTTCGTCCCTAGATGTGCTGGCCAGGATTTCTGGGAGTTGTAGTCCAAGAACAGCTGGGGACTCGAGGTTGGGAGGGAAGGTGGGGAGGGGACTCAAGGTTGGGAACCACTGCAATAAGAGTTAAGGGAGGGAAGGTGGGGGAAATGGCTTGATAGGAAAGTTATAGACAAGTTCTCACATCCAGTCTGGCTTTAATGGCATCCCAGCTGATTTTAAAGTTTTTAAAAAATGTCTGATTTGTCTGAGTTCATTTATTTATTTAAAATACTTTTACCCCACCTTTCACCTTGAAAAAGCACCCAAAGGCCACTTGCAACCATGAAAAGCAATATTTAAAGTTGCAAGTGGAAAACGATGAGTCTACAATGGTACTTAACATCATTAAAAGAATATTTAAAACGAGAACAATGAATAAGGAGGCATCTTACATAATGAACAGGCCATATTAAGGCAAAGATCAATAATTATACAAAATATTTTTTTATTTTTAAATATCGCTTTGAGAAATGGAAAACACAAGTAATATGTCATCTGGCCTGTATATTTCAATATATGAATATTGGGTGGGAGAAAGCTATGTTAGGGCTGAGAGAAGTTTGGAGAATGTTACATTTGTGGACTACTATACCCAGAATCCCCATATTGATGGATGGGTTCTAGGGGGTTATGGAGTAAGAACACCACTTTCCCAAGCTTCATGGGACTGCTGTTTTCTGAGCATCAGACAACTTCCGAATGACTGGAGGAGGTGTGGCGCCACCTTCGAGAGGTGTGCTTTCCAGCATCAAGCCTGTTTTTCTTTGCATAGCCGTCTCTTGATTCCTCCCCAAGAGAGGAATCTGCTGGTTAAGGCAGTTGCCTCGCTGTGTCTAACAGGAATGGGGTGGATTTGTGGGTACACTTTTTAACGTGCTGGGAGTGGACGCCTGCTGGAAGATAAGGGAGGAAGTAAACCCAGGGCAAGCCCAGAGTACCCACTCGTTTTCGCCGGTCATCGTTCCAACAGGTCACCAGTGAAGAGTCAATACCAAAAGGACATCCTGTTAAGGAATTGCTTGATCAAGGTGCTTTCCTCTTTCTGTGTCACTTTGGCAGGAAGGTACATGCGCACAAACCTAAACATGCCTCACAGCCTACCTCAACGAAGTGGCGGATTCAGGGATTATGAAAAGGACGCCCCCATCACTGTGTTTGGCTGCACGCAAGCAAGGCTTGTTGGTAAGTCCTCTTAGACAGGGATGAGTTCGCCTTTTTTTCTCTCTGTCTCTCTCCTGCAAGAAATCTTTCCATAAGAGGCTGAGGACTAGTGACTTGGAAAATTGTGAGTTTGAGTCCCCCTGGGCTCTTTTACTTGATGGCGGTCTTTTGGCTAACCAGCAGCAGGAATAACGCTTGGGCAAATATTGTAGGAAGCGCAACAGGTAAGGACACTCAAAGCAATAAAGACATGTCAGCAACTTTCTTTAAAGCTGTAAATCAACCTCATGTTCATTTCATCCTGGCTTGTGCTCTAGAGCAGGGGCAGAAAATGTAGGAGGGTCTGGGAGGACATTTTGCATGTGCCTATACTCCTCCACAGTTTCAATCAGCCTCTCCTAGTAGAAGTCGGCAGACTGTCACTTCTATTTTTTAATGGACTTATAGGTAAAAACAAGCTGTATAGATATGCATTTGGTTTTAGAGGAGAGCCACAGGGAGAGGAAAGAACAGAGAGATGGAAAAACACAAAAAACTTAGAACCGATAGGCAAACCCATTTGCTGACAGCAGCACCCCGTGCAAAATGGATCTCCAGCCTAGGATTGTTGTTTGTCTCTGTGATGGGCCATGTTTTACGATGTGCATAAAATGTGCATAAGCATTGATTTGCTTACACGTTACAGAGCATGAAAGCTGTTGGGGAAGGCAGTGGGACCATGAGATTCTCCAGGCACTGTACATCAAACCAGGTTCTCTGCAAAACAGAGTTTGGCCTTAACCTTGCTTCTTCCAGTGATGCTGACACAGATTTCAATTTCCTGTGGCATGCTGTTTGTGCACCCCTTTTCCAGGGATGTGCCATTGTGTTGATTTGAGCTTTCATTTCTGTAGCCTAATTTGAGACAGGGCGTTAATTTGAAAAAGTTTAATTTTAAAAACGAGTGGAGATGCCAAGGCATTTTTCTAACGAGTAATATACTTTTTTAAAAAAGTAAATATAGCATGACTGCCACCTAAAGACAGAAAATGGTCACTGCCATATGGTTAAAACAACTATAAATGTGCCCTATTTGTTTCAAAAATAAAATGGTTTCAGAATCATTGCGTGGCCTCAGTGGCAGAAGTCCAGAGTTAAAGAAGAAACTTCTCTGTATTAGGAGTAAGCTGACGGCGAGCTGTCTCCTAATACGTGATTCGAGGAATGCTTTTTGCATCATTTAAACGGCACCCATCCATTCATTGGTGAATCTGCCACCTCCTCAAGCCCATGTATTCCAGACCCCCTAAAAATCGGTCTAAATCAAGCCAGAATTTGTAATTACTCTGAATGCAGGGCCAAGCCCCCTAAATGAAAGCTGTGCTCTGCCAGTAAGCGATGCGCCTTCCTAATTATATGATAGCAAGCGGAGGTGTCTGTAAGACGTGATGGGTGTTAATGAAACTATTGCCTGCCTTGCACTGACCTATTTCAAATGCTGCCTTCCCACAGGTGAGGCTCTTCTCGAAAGCAACACTGTCATCCACCACATTTACTGTTCCCCCTCCCTGCGCTGCGTACAGACTGCACACTATATTTTGAAAGGTAAGGTGATGGCAGCAAACCTACCAAGGGGACCCCCATTTATGTCAAATGTTTCTGTGCCCCAAAAAAAGTGGGCCTGTTGCTTCGATGATCACAGAAGCTCTGCGTAAGCACTCCTTGTTTACAACGGCTCGACTGGAGAGGATGAGAGAAGCAGGGCCTTCTCTGTGGTGGCCCCTCAGTTACGGAACTTGGTATTTGCTGTTTTATAACTCAGACATTTGGAAAAACTCTTGAACGAGGATGGAAAACACAACTATCTATGAACTTGAAAAGCTTCATTTTTATTTTTATTTTTATTTTGTTACAATGTCCAGAATCTTTCAAAGGTGGGGAACAAAAGTCTGACGTTCCTTTGAAAATAAGGTGCACGGGGCAGCATGCACCTTGTTTTGAAACAGAGTGGCATCTCTGATCACCACCCAGAAGTATATCCTTACTATTCAAAAAAAGCATGTGCCTCCTATACAACTTGGTTTTAAGAATGACAGCAGTGGTGGTTTCAGGGAGCAACACAAACCCACCTCACAGGTCATCCACACCACCTTTGAAAACAAGATTTGATCAATTGTTTCCTGGGTAGGCAGCTAACCCATTTGTTTCATTGTCAATAACTTTAAAAGTCACTTTTATCTTCAGTTTTGGTGATACACGTTTTTTTTTTCATTAGGGTTTACATCCAACCATTGCTGTCATAAGCAGCTTTTTAAGGCTGTGAAACGTGGAATATTTAAATATTAAATAAGTGAACCCAACAAAATGAACAGCTCTCCCCTAGGTTCCCCTTAAAATTGGGAACAGCAACACTTGAACATTCAAAAATATATTATAGAAATGTTAAGTATTCTTGATCTCAATAATTATTACGTATTAGTAATCCTTGTGGTTGATAGTTTATTTGTGTGAGCTCAATACCAAGGTGTTCATTCCATTCCACCTCCAAAGAATAACGTGATTAACATGTAACTTCTAGCTAAGGGCAAAAGCATTTCCAAAACCAAGACTCAGCATAAACATTGTTTTTTTCCTTCCACCTGGACTTGAATGCATTTCATGTTTGGTGGACCTTGTCTTTGTTCCATGTACAGGGTTGCAACAGGAGAATAACCTGAAGATTCGCGTTGAGCCCGGCTTATTTGAATGGACAAAATGGGTCTCTGGGAACTCTCTACCTGCCTGGATACCTCCCATGGATTTAGCTGCAGCCAGTTTAAGTGTTGATACAACATATAGGTAAGGATGACCTTGAGCAACGAATGCCAAAATCCTGTTGCTTAAAGTAGTAAATTGCCATAGAATAGGCCCACTGAATCAGTGGGGTTTCGGTGAGTCAACTTCTTTATTGATTCCATGAGCCTACTCTAGTCCAATTTACTGTCTAAACATCCGGATTTTGGCCATGATGCAGGGAGCCTATGAATGGCAAAGAAGAGCCACTATGGATGGATCAAGGGAAGTCTCTCTCTCTGACTCTCTCTCTCTCTCTCTCTCTCTCCCCCCCTCTCTCTCTCTCTCTCTCTCTCTCTCTCTCTCTCTCTCACACACACACACACACACACACACGGATGCACGCACGCACGCACGCACACACATGCTTAGCTGCTGGATAGGGTTTAGGTCTCTGGCTGCATAAACAGAAGTTGGGAGTTCTATTTTCCTCCTTGTCAGGGGCTAGACTAGATGATCCACAGGGTCCCTTCCAGCTATGCAGCTTTACAATTATTAGGTAGCAGAAAATTACCAACTATAGCTCTTCAGGGAATGAACAAAGGGCGTGACTTGGACATTGGACTGTAGAGACAGGATAGTAGCTGTATTTAAAATCATTTTTTTATTATATCCGATTTAAGGGCAGGAAATTGTAAACTTTCATCTTCCTAACAAGGAAGACGTGAAGATTATGCATATAAAGTTCTATACTACATTATCCACACCTATATCTTTAGAGAGAGAGAGAGAGAGAGAGAGAGAGAGAGATCTTTCTAAAAGCCACTTTATTTCTTTCGCAGTTTATTTGATCTTATTTGGTTTTAGTGAGCCTTTCGGATGGTTCTAGTTAAGTTTTTAGTGTGCTACTTCCTCTCTTTTTTCCCTGTTTTTCTCTGACTTGTGTTTTTTTTTTTGCATATGGTTTCATCTCCACAGACCTCATATACCAGCGAGCAAGTTAGCGGTTTCAGAATCTTATGATACGTATATCAGCAGAAGCTATCAAGTAACGAAAGACATATTGAGTCAATGTAAAGCCAAAGGCAAGTAAAAGCCCATCTTTTGCAGCAAACGGCTTCCAGTGGGATCCTATGCATGCTTCCTCATCAGGTTAAATGAGACTTACTTCTAAGAATCACTCATGGTGCAGTCATTAAACTGCAGGACTGCAGTCAAGACTCTGCTCAAACCTGGGTTTGATCCCAACAGGTTCACATAGCCGGCTCGAGGTTGACTCAGGCTTCCATCCTTCCAAGCTCACGGGGGAGGGGAGGCAATATGTAACCTGCATAATTAAAATTGTATAAACCACCCAAAGGGTGCTTTAAGCACTGCGGGGTGCCATATAAACAGCACACTTTGCTTTGCTTTCCAAGAAAGGATTTCAGACCTCAACGTTTTGTAACTTGTGGTTGCTTCAGCTATCCACTTTGCTTTCTAACAACGGGAAAGCTGCTCACCTGTTGAACAGAGGCGTGAAACAAATCCCCAGCACTGGATTGTATATGAAAAGTACTCCAGGAAGCCGACTCTTGCACCAGAGGAAGTGAGAAGTGGATAGGCAGGCATCTGAAATCTCCCAGTGGCCTGGATGGGTGGTGCATGCCACGGTTAATACCCTTCCGCTTGGATTACTTGTAAAGTGCTCTAACATGTGGCAGCCTTTGGAAAGTGTCTAGAAACACTGCAGCCACACTGTTAACTGGAGTTACAGAGCACACAGAAATGGGTTGTGGTCACAGCTTCTCTAGCTGCCAGTTGATTTCCATCACAATTCAAAGGGATGACCTATGAAGCCCTACGTGTATTGGATCCGAGTTTGCCAGTTGATTTCCATCACAATTCAAAGGGATGACCTACGAAGCCCTACGTGGCGTGGATCCGAGTTGTCTGAAGGACCACATCACCTCCTTTTTCCATCACAATTCAAAGGGATGACCTACGAAGCCCTACGTGGCGTGGATCCGAGTTGTCTGAAGGACCACATCACCTCCTTCAACCTTGGGCCTCCAGATGTTCTTGGACTTCAACTCCCAGAAATCCTGGCCAGCAGAGGTGGTGGTGAAGGCTTCTGGGAGTTGTAGCCCAAGAACATCTGGAGGCCCAACGTTGGGGACCACTGGTCTGAAGGACCACATCTCCTCCTGCGAGGAGATTTTGAGACCTTCAAGGGAGTGCTCTTCTCTACCCTATGATCTTCAGAGACCCATCTGATGAGGATGCAAGATAGCGCCCATTCAAATAAGCACATTGTGGGAGCTTCCTTCACGTTATTGTGTTATCTGTCTCCTCCTGCAGGGAATAACATTTTGATAGTGGCCCACGCTTCCTCCCTGGAGGCCTGCACCTGCCAGCTTCAAGGACTCTCCCCACAGAATTCCAAGGACTTTGTACAGATGGTCAGAAAGGTAACTGAGACCCAAAAGTGTGATCAAGCTCCTTAGTTGTGTAGAAGTTGGGTTTTGCCGGTTGGCCAACGTGGTTTGTTCAGTAGCTTATGATAACTGGATCCTGTCCTTTTGAGATTTCAAAAGTGGAGGGGAAAGATTGTCTTATGTGGTATGGCCGTTTTGGTCATTGATAACATGGACAACAGAGGTTTTAGATAAAATCATTCAGTATTATCTTTGACTTCTTTCTGGACTTGTTAGAGAAAGGTTGGCATTTTTAAGTGTCTTCCCACCCTCTCCCACTTGTATTGTAAATGTGTCTTTCTACATGTGCTAAATGTTAAGAAGACAGAGAAAGCTGCCTTTATATGGAGTAAGGCTCTTCTGTCTAGTTCAATGTTAGTCCAGCCCTATCTGCAGCGGACCGAATCCTAAACCATCACCTCCTTGCTTTACCTCTGACTTGCAGACCTTACCCTGCAAATAAAATCATGTTCTAAAAGGGAAAGCGAATCATTAGAGATTACTCTTTACTTCTGCCCTTCGAGTCTCCCAGAACATAAACCTGGGGAAAACAATGAATCTATTTTGATATACCAATGCCATCAATTTAAGGTGTGCTCCGTGGGAAGCTATGCTCAAAATAAGCTACTCCATCAGAATTATTTATTTCATAATATATAACAGTTCAAGATTCTTCCTGAGAAAGGAGACTGTGCTACCTGTGTTGTTAAATCGAGGCTTGTGGCTGGAGAGGCAGAAAGATTTGGGGTTCCCTAGGGGACATGCTGTGTCCAGCCCTACCTGTTTCAGTGTTCAGTGTCCATCCCCAAGAGAGTGTGCCGCAATAGTTAAGGTCATTGATCCTGGCAACAGTGGGAGCATGTTTTGCTTCCAATCCCAAAACTGAAAAAAGAGTCATCCCATTCTGTAGGACTTTTCTAAAAGCAGAATCTTCTCTTCAACCAAAACCAAATAAAAACAACAACAAAAACCAATAGGCTGAGAGGGTGTCATCTAATTTTGCAAATACAGTGGGGTCTCTACTTAAGAACGTCTCTACTTAAGAACAATCCAACTTAAGAACAGCTCTGCCCTTCGAGTCTCCTAGAACATAAACCTGGGGGAAACAATGAATCTATTTTGATATACCAATGCCATCAATTTAGGGTGTGCTCCGTGGGAAGCCATGCTCAAAATAAGCTACTCCATCAGAATTATTTATTTCATAATATATAACAGTTCAAGACTCTTCCTGAGAAAGGAGTCTGTGCTACCTGTGTTGTTAAACCGAGGCTTGTGGCTGGAGAGGCAGAAAGATTTGGGGTTCCTTAGAGGACATGCTCTGTCCAGCCCTACCTGTTTCAGTGTTCACTGTCCATCCCCAGGAGAGTGTGACGCAATAGTTAAGGTCATTGATCCTGGCAACAGTGGGAGCCTGTTTTGCTTCCAATCCCAAAACTGAAAAAAGAGTCATCCCATTCTGTAGGACTTTTCTAAAAGCAGAATCTTCTCTTCAACCAAAACCAAACAAAAAAAAACCCAATAGGCTGAGAGGGTGCAGTCTAATTTTGCAAATACAGAAAACCTAATTTCACCACTTAAATAGGTTTTTTTTTAAAAAAAATCCATAACTGATGGAATTGTATCGATGGGTTGAGACTATGAGAGGAGGTCCCCGTGATCTGTTTGTTTGCTCCCACCAAACTTAAACAAACAGGCAGCCAGGGGAAGAGGGCAAGGTCCGACCTAGGAGAGCTGTGAAGGGGTCTTGCCTCGTGGCGCAATGGTTAAAATACAGTACTGCAGCTAAAACCGTGCTCACGACCTGGGGTTCAAATCCCAGGTAGCCGGCTCAAGGTTGACTCAGCTTTCTATCCTTCCGAGGTCGGTAAAATGAGTACCCAGCTTG